GAAGGATGCTGATGATGGATGACGATGACAGGTGATGATGATGGTGATGATGAGGATGATGATGATGACGCATGGGTTTGATGGTGATCATGATGACGGACGATGACGATGATGGATGACGAATTGATTATGATGATGATCTCACGACAAGTATCGTCGTAGCATCCTGTGCGCGCCGAGCGCTGCCTAACACACGCACAATCGAAACGGGGAAGACACTACAGTGTCGGTGATGATGACGGATGGTGGTGATGGGCGATGATGATGCATGATGATGATGGTTCATGATATTACGGACGATGGATCATGATGACGCTGGTCATGATGATGATGATGATGCATGATGAAAGTGGTGATGATGATCCATGTCATCGTAGCATCCTCTGCGCGCCGATGATGGTGCTGATGATCGCCACGATGATGGATGATGATGAACGTTGGTGATGAGATGATGAGGACGATGATGGATAATGATGAAGATGACAATGATGATCACCATGATGATAGTGATGATGATGATGATGATGATGATGATGATGATGATGATGATGATGATGATGATGATGGTTGACCAACCTGGTGAGGATGCTCTTGATGACGGATGATGGATTTTTATGATGATGGGTGACGACGATGATGACGATCGTCCGTTTCATTCTAAACAATTCACGCCGAGCGCGAGAGTGTAAGAAGCTAGCTAAGACGGCTATGGTGATGATGAAGATGCGACGACCCTGAGGATGGATGCTGATGATGGATGATGACGACGACGACGATGATGAGATGATCACAGTTGCATAACGACGACGATGATGATGGTTGGTGGATGATGGCGACGATGGTTTTAGATGTACGATTTTAGGTATGCACGTTTGTAGTGAAATGTCATGAAACGCAATGTCATGTGATGTAGTGTATGTTGTGATATAGAAATGTATGTATGTAATGTAATGTTTTCTAATGTAATGCAATGTAATGTACTGTAGTGTAATGCAATGTACCGGAATGGATGATGATGATGATGATGATGATGATGATGATGATGATGATGATGATGATGGTGGTGGTGGTGGTGGTGGTGGTGGTAGTGGTGATGATGATGATGATGATGATGCTGATGATGATGCTTTTCGGTGCACAACTAACAAGCCAATCTGATGCTCGAAACTGGCAAAGCCATAACAAGTCAATCTGACCCCTCTCACAAGCCAATCTGATGCTCACAAGTCAATCTAATGCTCCTCACAAGCCAATCTGATCCCTGTCACAAGCCAATCTAAAAACGAACAAGCCAATCCAATCCTTCACAAGTCATTTCAATGAATTTTCAAACCACAAGCCAATCTGATGCATTCCACAACCCAAATTGATGAGCAGACCCCCCTTGATTAAGACTCTACCCCTTAATTAGAGGATATTTGGCTGAAATTTAAGGGGTGCACCCTGTAAATAAGCGTTCCTTAAACGAAACTCGAGGCCAGGGGGGGGGAATGAACGGGCCAAGCAGAAAACGATGAATTTGACGCTCCTTTCGCGATGAAATTTGGGGAACTTGGGAGGGGGGGCGATGAACTTTGGGGAGGGAGGCGATGAACTTGCTTCTGTGCGGCTACAAGCCTTTCTCGCATCGGCCGATGCCGTAAAACGCACTCTTGCGGCCTCTTGCGCAACTGCCCGAAAAAGTGCCAAAACGCCCCCCAAACCCGAAAAATTATTTGGCTACTATAAGCCCCCTTTACATACTACTGGTCGCACGTCAAAATTGTTCCTTGGAGCGGCACCGGCTTTCGAAGAAGATGCAGCTGCGGATCGCGCTTCCCCTTCCACCAGATCTCTGCCACTTGAACAGCTTCCACAAATCGTCCGGCTCGGCCGTGGCTATGCCATGCAATTGAGTTGAGAGAGTGCCCGTTCCTTGTGTTGCTTGTTCTTGTCTGTGTTGGTTCCTTGAGTGTGCATTTAAGTTTGGCTCCGGATCGCACCTTGTGTTTCTGATTTCAGGACCTCCATGTCGGCCCTGCATCTTGACGTAAGGCCAGCAAAGCTCCAGCGGTGTTCATGGCTGCACCCAGATGGTGCGGTCCAGACGATAACTTAGGTCACTTTGAACAATTCGCGTCCTTCATCAGTGGCAACAATGTTCAGCTTTTTGCACAGGCCCATGCTGCCATTCACCGTAACAATGTTCTTCAACACGCCTCCGCATCATCTCACTCTCGCACCTGTCGCAACACGCAAACCAGAACAAGGGAGTGTTCCAGATCCAGGTCCTACGCCACGTCGCCAGAAAGTGCTCCCAGTCGACCACCGAAACCCACGCGCCCATCACGGCGTTCCTTGACGTGGTGGCTTCGGTTGAATCACCAGAAAGTGGAGTGTCAATGGAGCGCTGGCCAGGGCAATGTGTTTGTCCATCTGTTTGAGCCCTGCCCGTGCTGCCTCGGGCCCAAGTACGGAACGACAGCATTCCAGTTGATACGCAGGATCTGGCTCGGATGCCGCCAAAGGTCGGGGAATGGTAGAGGAGGGACGTGGGTCTATTGCGCACTTTTCCTGACACAACTTGAGCCCTGCAATCCGGTTCTGACTACAGGTTAAAACGGTTTCCGGTTTTCTTACTCAGCAACCATCTCATGCCAAGCATGCACAACAAACCTACGTGCAGGAGTGAAATTGTCAACACCCCACCTGAGCTTGGTATTGCACTTGCCTTAATTAGGGAATTCGTTGGCTCGCCGGTTGCGGACACCACACGCATTAAAACAATGACTCGAGGAAACGGTGCCCTACAACTGTGGGGCGCTTCCACATTGCGCAAATGCTGTGGCAGCATGTTAGGGTGAGGGATCAGTTTGTCATATCCGCATTATAAGAATCATGAACGCATGGATGCATTTGGGCTCCAATTTGAATAGTTAAAAAGCCGGTGTTTTTCAGCGCTTGGCAGTGCATCTTTCAGTTGCTTTGTGGTGGCATCCTTTGCGATCTACATGCAGGATTTCACTTGCCTCGGATGCATCTTCTTTCGCGATTGATTTCTTGCGCTGTCCATACTGTCCATATCGAGTGAACTTTTGGGTGGCTTTTTCGGTAGACATTTCACCCCCTTGCATGTCTTGTTTTTGGGGTGGTGTTGTCTTGGCGATTTGTTAGCGCATGGTGCCAGCACAGAGTGCTTTCTGTTCGTTTACCTTGTTTGTGACATTTTGGTCCGGACCCTTTTGCTTGCTGGTTGCTGATCTCCTTGGTGTTCTGGTTGTATGTTGCCCCTTTTTTCTTGTTTGGTTTGGGCCTCCAACTTTGTCGATTTCAGCAACCTTGCCCTACCGCCGCTGGGGCTGTGGTACCTGTTGGTATTGTCAGAAGTGTACATTGCGGACCGTCGTAACTGACAGTGGCTTGCGAGGTTTAAAAAGTATGAGGTTTATTGTTTCAGCACTCGGAACCGACATCAGTCCAGCAAACCCTGCAGGATGTCCTGGAGTTGTGCTTTGCGTGAGCTTGGGGTCCCAGAGACGTATCTATTGTCAGAACCAGGCGTAGTGAAACAAACGTTGCTTAAAGCCATGATCCGCTTTTATTAATTAAATTTGAGCTTAGGAACATTATTTGCTCAATTATTTTGTCATGCGCAATTAGCCATTGTAATTGTTACTGAAGCACAGTTCCCTCAATTCAGCACTTCTTATTTCGCAAGAAACAATGTTTAATTTGAAGCAACCGATTTTTGATTTTTGCTGTTAAGCTGCATGCTTTTGTTGGCATGTATATTTTTTATATTTTTGTTGCATGCGTTTGGATTTACGTGGATCAATTTGTTTTTCGGATGTGCATGCAGAAGGGCAGCAACGGCACTTTGAAGCTCAACAGTGCTCTCAAGTGTTGCAGTGAAGGCCAGCCACGGCAAAGTGCATTGCTCGTGCGTGTAGAATGTGCAAGCTTTTCAGTTGCAATCCCGTATTGGCGAATTTCTGCTTTCAATCTGGACGCTGATGCAAGTATGCCGAACTTATGTTTTGGAGAGCAGTTGTGTGAGTGAATTTCGATGCTGAGTTTTCTGTACAGTATACGAAAATGGCCTGTGTACAGGGTCGTTTGCATTTCGTCATCGGAGCATCCTTTTGTTATCCCACAAAACCCGGACGGAGGATGTTTCACTGTGTCAAAAGTGTGTGCGTGATGTTATAGGAACACACGTGCTGAGCAACCATTTGTTGTGATGGTTGCAGTCCAACGATGAACCTCTGATCGCAATGGGAGTGTCGCGACATCCAAGTTCTGATGATTATGCTTCTGGTTCATTTGGGGCCTAAACATGTTTGGTGCCGAGAACGCACATGCATGAATCGTGATTTCGGATGAACATACGATCTAACTTGAAAAGCAAAGTAGGGCTGATATCGACAACGTCGGTGTTTATACTGTGGAAACCGCTTGCCTTTACAAGCCTTACAAACCCTTCATGCTTTTGGGCGTGTGCACCGGGAGAGTATATTGTTTTCACTACTGCGTGTCTGACCCTGCCCCCTCCCGACAAACCCAAACAACTTGAGCATGAGCAGGCGCGTGTGCGTTTTGTCTCTGTTTTCGTTTTTTCTCTCGGCAGTGTGGTGGCGCAGCCGGCACATGCTGACAGGAAACTGCCGCAGTCGTGATCAAGGTTAGCTCTACATGCATCACATGCATGTGCAAAGAGAATGCGTTACTGTACGTTACATGCATGGCCCTGCCACAAAGAAACAACAACTGTCAGTTTTAGGGTTCTTCGGAACAGCAAACATGAACAGCACATTCCATAAACCAGTCCCCAAACATTTGCAAGACCTTGGCCGACGCAGGTCTACTCCCTTGTAAGTCATGACTTCTGGGTTCAAAGCGAGCACAGCTAACGATGCTTCCGCTTATTCGGCCAAGCAAAGCCAATCTAGCCACCACAACGCACACCACGGTCAAATTCATTGCCTGAGTCAAATACCTGGTTTCGAAAACCAACCAACCCAGAAGTCTTTCATATTTGGCTGATGCCACGAATGCCACACATCTGTGCTGGCAATGGCCGATTCTGCGAAGCCGAAGGCTGGAACATTTAGGTGGCAGGGCTTGCTACATCCAGTTGCTCCGGGGCACCCCGCAGCCCTGGGCTCTCATTTCCAGTTGCCTTCGCCCACAAAATGGACAACTGTAGAAGCGTCTTCCTTCTTCCTCGTAGCCTCGTGGCAACTGGTGTGGGGAGTTCCATGCACGTAGTTTTTCCGTTTCTCATGTGCACAGCAATACACTTTGTGAGGTTGTGGCACCTGCAGAAGAGGTGGGCCTGCCGTGCCGGGAAGCACGCCACGTCAGAGTTAAAATTCGGGTCCCTCAAAGTAAGACCCCAAGCAAGGCCAAGGAAGGAATCCTATAAGTTCTGAAGGTGCAGCGAAGTCCTCCAATTTTTGCTCCCCGCCAAACATCGCGGGGTATTTTCCTGGTTTTGAGAGCCAGAGCCAGAGGTCTTCCGAGGGTTCCAACTTACGTCACGTGAACGGAAAACCCTGCACTGGTTGCACGGTTACAACAAGTTGCCCAGGAGTTGAACTGGAACATCTGAATGGTTTTTCGCAGGGGCCACTTCCAAGTACTTCCAATTTTATGTCCTTCTGGCTTTATTCCATGCCAACGAAGCAATGTGCATGTTGAACGCCTAGTTGCAGGGCATGAAGAGGTGAGCGATTCCACCGATTCGCAAGGACATGTTCAGGGACCCTATGCCCTCTCTTCGTCCCTTCTTTGAGACCACATGGCCTCACTTGTCCCCGAATTCTTTGGGTGCTGGTAGGGTCTTCATTTATCACTTACTCACGGAGCGGGACTTGAAATTTGCGGCAGCACCATTTTTCTTGACAAAGTCCTTGCAACATGGCTAGGGTCAGCCAAGGCTCTGGAACCCTGCTCGGACCCGCCTAAACCTGAGTGATCACGGCATCGCGGCATCGTTCTCGTGGGCGGCAGGTCATCCGGCTTGATGCTTATGATGAGGCGAACGTCGTCATATTTCGTTCGTTTGAGCGCTTGCCAACCCTTTTGGTTGGTTTTGGTTGGGGAAACCAAAGCAAAACTAGGCATTTGGCCTTCAACTGAGAGAGGACGACACACATTGTGCGAGAATTTGCGGGGTGGCAGCCACCCGCAGGTACCAGTGCTTCAACGAGCATCCAGGTGGGAGAAACAGAGCTGCGATGCCTGCGACCCTTCGTCCGTTTGTGGTTTGGATCGGTGGTTTTTGCGGGTTTGCACCCCTCGTTCTTGCAGAGTGGTGTTGCTTCTTGGGAAACACAAAGAACCAAGCCACCAACTTTTTGGGAACCACCCAGAACACTTCCAAGCCACCAACTGAGCAGATTTCCGAGGCAGAAGGCGGAGAAGGAAGGCGCCCTGGAAAGGCCAAAGGGGAAAGGAAAAGGCAAAGGCAAGAAGGGGAAGGCCGGGTTCGTGCCGGGGCACCGACGCAAGCGGGGCCTCGTGCCAGTCTTTGCCATCGTCTGCCTTTCGAAAGACTCGCGTGGCACGTTTTCGGGCTTTTTCTCCGCGCAGGAAGAGCCGCAGTTTAAGCGAGACTCAGGCCTGTCGCAAAGGATACGAAAGCCCGGGGGCCCAGCGACGACGGCAAATGCACGCTTTTGACTCCAAGCTCTCATCACATAGCGTTGGGGGAAAATTAAGCCACCAGGGGACCGCAGATTGTAGTCCATGTTTCCAATTACCAGGGTTCCATTTTGGGTATTTATTTTTGACCCACAGCCATGTGTATATGTAAATGTATATGTAGCTCATGTTCCCAGGTATTTCCCTACTGATCTTGGCATTACACATTGAGGTCTACATCCAGGGGCGCCGGATTTTCCCAGGTTTTTTCGCCCTGCGATTGGCACTCCTTTCTCGCGAGGTATGCGCGGCCTGGGGCTCCATTTCGGGAAGTCAAGGCCAAGGGCGACAAGAAGCTCGCGACTGAGGCCTGGTCTTGGGATGTTGGCTGGTCACAGCAACAATCAAGGCCGGGTTGAAAGTTTGGGTAGACCCATTCAGTATCATTGCGGCTCATGCAGGCTTGAGCAGGGCTCAAGGCTTCAGCATGGCATTAAACCACTATCCTTTAAAGAACCTCCTTTTGGTTTGCCTTGAATTGGGGCAATCGGGTGCGGTGTTTCCATTCTGCCCCAAACCACCTTGCCGCAGGCCTGCTCCCACCCCCCTGCCCCCAACCCAAGGGACGCCTTTCAGCGCCCGTTCCGAACAAACGGCGGTCAAAACCCTGTACCCCCAGCGAACATCCCAATCCCCACTAAAACAGACTAAAATGGGCCCAAAATGATACCAGTGGTTTAGACCCGCAGCCAAATCAAAATCCGAGCCGCACCGAGGTGAAGCAGCGCGCGCGCCAGGACCGCGACGCGGCGTTTCAGCTGGCCAAGGCGGAGGCGCGCACATCGCGTCGAGAGCTTGAGGGAGACATCGATGAACAGGGCAGTTGGAGTGAACCATTTTTCGGAGGCGTACCCTCAGCCATTCTTATGTGTTGCTCCTGGTGTCCTTTATTTTGGCTCTTTTTTGGAAAGGAATGTTGGTTTTGGTGCTTTAAAGCGATTGACCTGGTTGAAACTCAACAAACTGGCCTCAGGTCAGCCAATGCGATTGAATCACCATGCAGGCAACCTAGACTTTAGAAACGCGTGGTTGATTAAGTTCGGGGCGTGCCAAAAAAGAACGTTTTTTTTGGGGAACTGTCCTCATTACTCTGCCAGGCTTCCCAAAGACACACGAATTGGAGAGTCCCTAAGAATGGCGTTTTTTTTTGCTTTCCCTTCTCTCTCAACCAACAGGGAGCCACCCGATTGAGCAGCGCAAGCCCCAATTGGCCATTAGCTAGATGGCTATAGGAAGGCCCCAGCAAATTTTGTAAGCATGGCGGAAGCAAACGTCAGCCCTTAGGCGCCGCTCGTTTGAGTGTCCCCATGGGCGAAGGCCGAAAGCCCGCCCCTTTCGCCTTCAGGTGCTTCAGACTGCGGAGGCGGGCGGTGTAGAAGTCGACGAGCAGGACGACACGCGCAGGCCAGGGAGGGGCCAATGGGACACCCGAAAGCTCAAGTCCGCGCGCAAAGCTGCGAGGAGCGTGTGATTGCGCGCGTAAGTCCGCGCCGCAGATTTTGGGCGGTCTCAAACTGGGAGACTGCGACCCCTGAAAAACCCGGTGCCCAACCAAAGCAAGGTGGCTCTGCTCTGTTTGAGGCTCGCCCAGAAGGACATCCTGGACTCGGCCGGAGGGCCCGGAAAGGTTTCTGATGGACCGGGAGAAGCGTTGTGTCTCCTTTTGGTTGTCTCTCTACAACCATTCTCCGTTTTGCTCAGAGAGCGGTCATTTCTGGTGGGAGGTTGGGTTTTCTACAAGGGAATTATTTCAAGTGATACTTGCGTGTCAACTGGGTTCTGCGTCATTTGGCTAGTCTGCCTCAAGATCATCAACACCACCACCGATCAAAGCTGAGTAGAATCTTTTCGCATCCACTTTAATGTCAATCATCTGAAAACTTTAACAGTACTGAGATGTTTTGAATCAACATTAAATAAGGACTGAATTGTAAGTGGGATATTTGTTGTTTAAATGGATTTTAGCTAGGTTTGATTTAGATTTCTTGTTTCAAATTTGATTGAATATGGTAACGGACATCACCTTTAAGCTCTAATTTGAAACAAAACTTGAAATTAAAATCTAATTGCAATCATCTTTAGAAGGGACATACTGTCCGAATTCCGGTTAAAACTAGACATTCTACTAGGCTTATGTCCTCGTTAGCTTCTCTTTACATTCCAACAAAAATGCAAACAAATGTCAAACAACTTTTTAACCTCAAATTAGATAATCAAGGTGGGATTTCTAGGAACCTAGTAAGGGCAGAATTCTAGTTTCAATTAGAATCTCAATAGGAACTCCTTCCTAAAGAGGACTTCAATCAGGTTTCAATAAGACATCTGATTTTAGAACCAGAAAGTTGAACCAAATTGTAACATGTTCTTTGGCACGAGGATTTTTCAACTGCTAAGGACAACATTCTAGTATCATTTCTAGCTTCAATTATCATTTCAGGATTATTGCCCTTTTAACGGGGAGCTCAACTAGATGTGAATTAAAATGCCTATTTCAATTTAGACTTTCAAGCAGAATTCCTTTCTCAGAAGGATTTGTCCAATCGTGTAACTAGAGGCTAAATGGACTTTAAAGAGGAATGAATGCCAGCCATCAATTTTGAAATGCTCGTTTTCAAGGAGGATCTCAGTTCCATTTTGCATAGAATTTTGATGTCAATACATTTTTTAAAGGGGCTTTCATTCCCCTTACTAGAACTGGGCAATCTGCTTTTGCAGCCCACAAGAAGTATCTGTTCTGCGCTTAGTCCGTGGGGCTACTGCTGCCAAACCGCAACTTCTCCCAGCCAAGGTGGGTGTGGGCGTGGCGCGCAAGGCCTTCTCCTTCGACCTGCCGGCGGGTCCCTACAACTGCGGTCCTGCCGTGGTTAAGCACTCGAAGGCCCAAGCTCGAACGCCCCAACAGGAAGGCTCTACACCGCAAGGCCAAGGCAAGCGAGGATTGGCTTGATTTGGGTTTTGGGCCGTGCCCACGTGTTACCAAAATGATGGGGAGCCCTTTTGAATGGAGAAAGGGAAACCAACATGAAGCCAGACATTTTCAGCACTTCTGCTCAGCTTGTTCAATACCCGTATGAAAGTGCCTTTGTTTCAGGATACCCCTCTTGGGTGGGCTTCCAAGTCTTTGTAGCCAGAGGGAAGCACAGATTTTCCGGCTTCACCGCGTTTTGGTCGGACCCATCTTCCCAAGAAGCCAGGCTCGCTGACCAGAAACGGGGCGCACCTACTAGCAGGTGGCAGGAAGGGACACGTGGCCCTGACCTCAAAACTATGAGGTGCGGTCAAAGGGATCCCAGGGTCTAAGCCACCTTTTTGGTCAACTTGAAGCGAGTTTTCTTTTGGTGGGGTGACTTTTTAAAGTGGAACATTTCGGGAGCCCTTTCGACATATCCAGCATGTTTAACGTGGAGGGAGTTTAAATGTCCAGGGACGCACTCACCCAGTTTTCATGTCCATGATGGGAGCCACACATTTTGGCTGTGGCTCATATCTCACCATTGGCAGTGACCTGAAGAAAGATGCGTGCCATGGACAAGAGGGGTTGATGACCGTCGCTTCCAACCCTGAGAAAAGGCTGATTTCACCATGACGCATATGAACTTTTTGACCAAGGGGACATTAAATGCACATTAGCCTCTCGGATGTTCGCCGACAGAAGGGGATGCTTGATGTTTCTTCTAAGGAACCCTGTTTGCCCAGGCTTTCATGCACTTGGCCGGCAGCTCAGCGTTGCTTTCCATAAATTGCATGCTGCGTGCACCATGCTGAACCTTGTCAACGTTTAGGTTACGTTTTACAGTTTTTCCAAACATGGTATGCTTGTCACATTAAGTACACTTTCAGGGGTAGCTTCTCCATTCCAAAACTGGCCTGTCCTCTTGGGTTTTTGGCGGTTTTCTGGAAAGAGGGACACTAGTTTGGGAAGGCAGCTGAGGTAGGCTTGTTGTGCTTGCATCCGATTGCATGCCTGCATCTTTCAGCAGTGTTTGAACTCTCCCTGCCGCCGCCAAGTAGGTCTTATCCTACAGATACACATGCAAATAGACCTTCACGCTCAATTTCCCCGCTCCAGCAATTCACACAGCATGAAACACAAGAATTGTCACATTGGAAGCATTGGAAACGCGCAGCGGCAACCTCGTCTTCGTTTGAATGGGCGGCCCATGTCTTAGTTTTCACCCGAGGGTGGCGTGAGGCTCAGCTGAAGGCTTGAAGCTCCTCGCTTTGGGGTGCGGGTCCGACTGCAGGAGTTGCGGCCGTGGAAACCAGTGTCTTTTCCACCAGACCGAGGCCCCCCTCTCCCCCTCCCCCCAATTTTTGTGAGGGGCAAGGTTAATAATCTCATCTGAGGTCGCAGCAATGTCCACGGGCAATCCCTTTGGACTTTCCGAGATCTCTCACTATGGCGCCTTGGAGGAATTGGCGAGTTGACAGGATCAGTGCAAGAGCCCTGCATACCTTTGGAGCATACCCCGGAATCCTCAGCACGGCATGGGCGGGGTATGCTCCAAAAGAGTGTTGGAGGGTTCTGATAATCGGGTCTTAGGCCGAACGTGGCAGCAAGATGTAGCCAAGTAAGTATCTCATGCAAGTCCCGTACAAATTGTGCAACCTCCCGCTTTATTTATGTCTGCCACAGGTTGTCCCGCAGATGGTTGTGGAACACGGAGTTTTGGGGGGACTTTCTGTGATGCCAAAACAGTTCCCTTCAAAGTGGCATAGGGATGGGAGTCCCACTTTGTATCAAAGAAGGCGCGATGTCGACCCATGCTTGCCGGTTCGCATCTAGCTCGAGACACGGAGCCCTTTATGCGCGCATTGCATTGAGTTTCCCCGAGGCTCAATGCGCAATGTGGGAGGCAAGGCAGGTGGCTTCATCAACAAGAAGTTTTTTCATCCTTCCTCCCTTCGCAACCAGGACCGGCTTTTGCACTAGCAAGCCCTGCTTGCTTGCTTTTCACAGGATTTTTTTGGTCGCCCCCTCCCCGTACTTTGTCTCCTCGCTAGTTTCCTCCACACAAGGCTGTTACGCAGTGGGGGGGGGGGGCGGGAATCCAATCAATGGTGCTACTTGAGAGAGATGGCATGTGAGAGGAAAGGCTCTGGAAAGCCATCACGTCGGATGCGTCGGAGAAGCGAAAGCAGGATGATTTGGAGAAGGCCCCTCTGATGTTAAGGAGGGACATCAGGGCCCCCTAAGGATCTAAGAAGGTTCTGAGTGATGAGGTGGTCTACTCTTAGTTTGAGGACATGGGCGCCCAAGTTTCAGGTAATTGTCCCACTCGGTTTTCCCATGCCTTGGATGCATGCAAGCAATTCTTTTCCGCTCAGGGGTCTTGGGCCTTCCTGGCCATTGGGCGCTAAGGAACCTGGGAGGATTCAAATCCGAATCAACTGGGGAGCTAGGGAGCCCCCAAAACAGCAGCACATTCACTTCGCGGCGAGTCTGCCAGGCAAGAGAAGAAGAGCGCAAAGTGGATGCGCTCAGAAAGGACTGGGGTTTGGTCTAGTCCGAAAAAAGGTCTAGTCCCTTTTGTTTTTCTCTCCTTCTCTTTCTATGTTTGAGAATCCGACCGCAGGAGATGTATTTGGCGGGCCAATCCTCCAGCAAAATGCCGCCAAGCCAAATTGGTTGGGTCGCCGCACGGACTTTGCGGGTGCGTCTGCGAGCGGACGCCGCAAGCGCGAGGTTCATTGCAGCGGCCGCGGAGTCAGCGCAGCGAGCCGCGCGGCAGATGCCTGCTTTTCTTTCCCTCCCCCGTGGGAGGGTGCCCGTCAGAAACTGGTGGGAGGGTGCCAATTCTGGCGGGATTACTTCCCCAGTTTCCTGCAAACTATACCTTTTTGGGAAGACCGATATGGGAGAGGGCCAAAAAGATCGCGCAGACTCACATCGGGTGTGAAACTGGGACCCCACAAATCGTCTTGTCCCCTTAATTAGGCTGCAAAGGGAATCATGAAAAGCACATACCTGTTGAGTTTCTACTCATGTGCGAGGTCACCCTAGGGCAGAACAAGCCTCATGCTTAAAGCCCCATTCTCGTGAATTCTGTTCTGTCATGTAGCGTTGTGACATACGGTGTTTGGTGCAGATGGTTTGGAACATGTACCACTCGCGGCGTAGAGCTACTTTTTTTTTCTTTTTTTTTTTTCTTCTTCTTTTTTGAATAGTAGGTCTGCGCATCAGAACATCTGGGACAAGAAACACACATGAGGAAACAGAAACACAGCTCGGCTTGGCATGTGATTTTTGTTCTCCGATGACCCGGGAGGGGACATAACCGGGAATTGGGAGGGGACATGGGGCCGCAGTGGAATTCTTGACAAGGTCTGGCAGACTCCTGGAGTAGGAGTGGGTTTTTTGGTGTCGTGGGACTCAGAACTCAGGGCACCTTGGAGCAGATCAAGGCCCACCGGGAGCTGAAGCGCCGCAGGGAGCTGCTGAAGGCGAGTCCGAAGATCTTCTCGGATCGGGGGAGGGTCCGATTGCGGCGCCTTTGCACTCCCCCTTGGGGATGGGGCTCCGATTTGTGATTTGTGATGCAACATGCCACCATCCCATTCAGCTGCAAGTTCTTTGTTTGGGAGAACGGAGACAAAGGGATCCCCTACAAGAACGGTTCCACACTTGTTTGGGGGTTTCTCTATCTTCCCACAATACGGTTGAAGCCCTAACCATTCAGTGCGGAGATCCACTAAAAGAAGCACTACGACATGGCATCCCCCCACCCCCCGCCTCCTTCCCCTAACAACATGTTGAACTTGCAATACATTTGGGCCTCGGAAGAGGAGTTACGCGCTTGGCTTCAACATCCCAAGTGGGGGAGAGGCGTCGCACACAGTGGCCACATCTCATTTGGTGGCACTTGCAATATTTACAGCTTGCACAGTAGCATAGGTGTCCGTTTTTGGCGAGCTTGGTTTGAGATTGACGGATTTCACAGGGTTTCAGTTTGGTTCTAGCTAGCTACCAGAGGAATCCATGTATTTGTTCAAGAGGGCCTGCTTCGGCTTCTTGCCATTCCTCTCAACACCATCCCAAGCAAGGTCCCACTCGTTTTGTTGCTGCGCGCGCGGGCACACCGCTTTGGCCGGAAGAGGGGGGGGG